GAGGTTGGCTAATCCTCCACTAGTTTTACCTTATCCTATTCCATGCGCATGCCTTCAGAGAACACTCCATGTCCTAAAAAGGTGACTTTTGACTTATAAAATTCACATTTTGATTACTTCCAATAGAAGTGACTATCTTATAGTCTATGCATTACTTCTCATAGGTATTAGTCATGCTCCTTAGGGACTTTATTATATATGAGAATATCATCAATGAAGATAACTATATACTTATTCAAAAGGTCCTAAAACAATTTGTTTATGTGACCCATGAAAGAAGCTTGAGTATTAGTAGGGCCAAAAGGTAAAATAAGCCATTCAAAATGTCGTCTTTTTAATATCCTCTCTTGCAATAGGTGTTTGTCAATATCCACTCTTAAGATCCAATTTGCTAAAGATGGTCACACCTCAAAGTTGATCAAGAAAATCATCAAAACGTGGAAGTAGATATATATTTTTAATAGTCTACTTATTAAGGTCTTGATAGCCAATACAAAACGAAAGTCCACTATTTTTTTTTAGATGCAAAGAGTATATATGCTCTCCATGGTGATATGCTTTCTCAAATGAGACCCTTCTCTTAGAATTTTTTCTATATTTTTTGTAGCTCTTCAAGTTCATTTGGTGCTAGGCAATAAATTGATTGACTTATTGGTTTGGATCTAAGTAATAGTTTTATTTGAAAGGAGGCACTTCCATCAAGAAGTATGCCATTAGATAAGTTGGTTGAGAAGATATCTCAATATTTTTGTATAAGTTGCTCTACTTATTCTATTTCTTTGACTATCTTTCTTACCATTGATGCAAGATTTAAAACCACCATATATACCAAATGTCTTATGTTATATTTTCTTCTTTATAAATATCATTCCTATTTGTAAGTCTTTAGTTGCATATTATTTTTTTTCTTTACATGATGTGGAAGTACATAAAGTCACCTTGCATCTACCATCTTTGAAGGAGATTGTCTTTACTATCTAATTAATTAATTTATTTTTTACATCTAGCTATAGCATACTAAGGATAATATCATATCTTAGCTTTATTACCTTGAATCTCTCTCTTAAGACATAAGTGTTAGTCAACCTTAAGGTTTCTTCTTGACATGTCTCACTCAATACGTTCACTTTGTTATCTACAAGGTATATACTCCTTCTTCTAATTACCTTAGTTTTAATCTTAAATTTGTTAGTAATTTTGGTCGAGATGCAATTTTTCGTAGAGCCTCAATTTACAAGTATTTGACATAGTTCTCCTCTTTGTAGTCTCATTAGATGCACTAATTAACTCTTCTTATAGTTGTCCAAGGCCATGCCATTTGTCTCTAAGAGACAATTGTTATCCCTAGTATTGGCCATCAATGCCTTTATTAGGGAGCCTTATTTCCTTGCTTTGTCTCATTATTGACTTGTTGAATCTTAAGACTTTGAACCTGCCTTATTTTATTGGTGATTAAATTTTCACATTTTTGATAACCTCCAATCTGATGGCCTAGCTCCTGACAATAGAAACACAATCCCTTTTGTATCAATGTTTGTCATCTCTATAATATCAATGATCTTTGTAGTGTATCAATCTCCATTGGCATTGGTTCTTATGCCATAATATTAGATAGCGGTATATGACTTCATGCTATAGATCGTACTCTATAATTTTAGTAATCTTTAGCATCAACCATCTCTACAATCTTAATTGCTTCTTCAAACATTTGTTGATCCTTTAATTCTATCTCTTGTTGAATCCTAAGTTTCAAACCTCATAGAAATCAATCCATCATCCCCGCCTCTGAAATATTGCAATTTAGAGACATAAGGACTTGAATTGAAAGACATAAACTTGTACTGACTTAAATTGTGTAAGATTTGCTTATTGATTGTGTTGTCATATTATGTATTGTCTTCTTTAGGAATGCATTGGATACCTCGCTGTGGAAGGTGAAATTGTGTTTTAGAAGTATCTAAGAAATCCTAATAGGTTTCATCTTCATGAGAAGAATATAATCCGAATTTCAATTAAAAAATGCTAAAAAATACTCTTCTTAGTTCCCTTATTCATACATAAATCCCAATTACCTTGTTACTTTCATATTTAAGCAATATAGATTTTTCTTGTAAGCCCCAATCCTAATTAGTGAGCTTTAACAAGTTGTAACATCTAATGTAACCATCCACTTGATGTAAAATTTTAAATGCAATTGTCAATGTAAGTCTTCTATATGCTTAAGAATTTTCAGTCCAATCCAACTTATAGATTTTGAGAAAACCTCCAAAAATTGCATTGATGTCACTTGGCTCCCAACTTAAAAAGTGAAGCAAAAATTTCAATAGTGATTTTTTCTTCTTTAACTGTTAACCTTAACTCAAAATTGGTGTACAACTTGATCTTTAAGTCCTTCAAGTCCTTCAAGTCCATGCCAAATTTCATCTTGATCCAACTAGTAAATCTCCAGATATCACAAAAATCCTATCCAACATCAAAGTGCCAAGTTTCAAAATCCTCTTGTGCTAAAAATCAGATATCTCTAAACCACACCATTAGATTATTAAAAAATTTTGTATACACTTAATACACCTAATAATCCAACAAACATCAAATTTTGAATCATAGATGCTATAGTAATTTTATGAACAAGCCAAAATTGCTAGCCCTAATTATATTGACAATTGAGGACTTGAGGGCTAACAATAATTGTCAGCCATACAAAAACAATCCTTATGCTTCTAGGAAGAGCTTTAAGCTAGCTCTCAAATCCTTACCTTTGATCTTCCAATGAATCCCTAATTTACCTTAGGCGGTGGTTTTAATGACCAAAGGTCTGATTTCAACTCTATCTCACAAATGGTTGACCCGTGGGTATTTTTTAACCTATCCTAAGGATTTTTTAGTCCAATCCTATCCTCAACTTGACCCTAGTATCAACCATACCAACTATTTACCTCTTCTATTGAGATTTTATCAATTTATGGCATTTCTAAGGCAGTAAAAGAGTTTCTATATCCTAGAAGATAAAAATACTAACTAACTTTTATCTACTTACTATTAAGACAAGAAAATAGACTAAGAGGCTTTCATAAAAGCCTTATTAAAATATTTTGAATTCTTGTTGAATTAATATAATAGAGTATTAATTAAAAAATCATTTTTAGTGATATTTTCATCATATAATTGTATCACAATACAACAATGTGCTATCTTTTCCTTATTGATGGATCAAAATTGATTCCTAAATTCGATCTTAAACTCCTTTCAATCACAAAATCCACCTTGACCTTCATAGCTTTGAATTGGATGTTGCTACCAAATCGATGCTGCATCTCTCAAATAGTTGGTTGCATACATAATTCCTTCAGTGGTATTTGCTCTAGATAGTTGGAGGTATTGTCGCATGTTAAAAAGTAATTGATATACATCTTCTTGTCTTGAAGTTCGAAAGTAGGTTATAAGTTTAGTCAATTTCAACGTAGGAGATGTTGGCTCTCTTATCTTAGAGGCTTCTATTTGCCTTACAAAGTAGCTATTTGGCCTAAGAGGTGATGTATTTGAGCCTCTATTTTGGATTGTTCTATCATATCTCCCAAATCATAATTTCCTTATTGGACTTCACTGTTATAATGCCTTCTCGTCTTTTAGTTGAATTTTTAAGAATAGCTCGTAGTAGCCTCAATAGAATATCTAGTGTAACCATAATAATTGATCTCAAACTACATGATGGCTATCAATACATTACCAAAGAATAGTCTAACAGTTGCTATAATACTAATAAAATAAGACTAGTCTATCTTGAGAGTCTAAGACATGTTTAATCTACAACAACATAAAACCTCATTACCAAGTAGGACAAAATGGATCAAAACAAAACTAAACAGAACTAAACAAAATGGAACACAAAAGATAAAATTTAGCAAACAAAAATAGAACAAAACGGAACTAAACAAGAAGATACAAAACCAAACTTTATTAAGAAAGAAGATCTAAAGCTATACTTGACCAAACACTTAGAAGACTATGGCTAGTCATATTTATACTTTATTCTACCACCCTTGACTTTCTAAAATGTTCCTAGATTATGGGCTCTACTTAGATAACCGTCCTAAATTCCTTTTAGAAGGTTCTATGGTAGATCCCATCTAGATAACTACTCTAAGCTCTTTTTAGAATGTTCCACGATGGATCCTGTCTAGTCTATTAATTTAGTTCCAATTCTAAATACTTCCATAACTCCTCAAACATGGTTCCAATTATTTATTCCTATGTATCAAGAATACAAATATCTTATCTATACCTTGTTATAATGTCCATGACTTAAAATTGAAGGCAAATATGGAAATCCATTAAGTACCATATCTCATTTATATAAGATACATTCAACCTATTCAGTTTTGGAAGTAGGTACAAATTTTGCAACAACATCAAATGATCTCAAGTACAATTAATCATATGTATTGCTAAGGCCCTATAAATTTGTAAATTTTTGTTTCACTTTTGATCATAATAATAAGGTATGTAGCAAATCAAAGAGGGTTTTTGTCTCTTCTTGTTTATCCCATGTACTTGTCTCCCCTGAGCTGTTGTATGTAAGAAATGCATTTAACCTGGGTTGTCCACTAACTCAAACCTAACCAAATCTATAGTATTTTTTTCATCCTGTCCCTAAAGTAAATTAATTATTATATTTGATAGAATCGCGTTCACACCTCAAGACGGGATGGCGGTCTACAGCCGCGTGGTCACGGAAGGGCCCCAGCGGAAGCAGATCGGTGTCCGTGGCAGCAGCCCCAAAGGCGTGAGTGAGGGTTGGAGGGGAACGCGGTCACCAGCAGGGGGAGTAGTGGATGGAAGCGCGGGGGGTGGGGGAACAAAGCTCGAGGAACGAACAATAGATTTGCATGCATAGCAGAGGAGCCCAGGCTTTGCCAGGGAGGCAGAGAGAGGCCCAAACAACACAAGCCCCCTGCGCTCCCCCCGCTCTCCCACCAACTCAGCGCTGACCTGGCACAGATCCGCCAAAGAAACTCCCCCCCGTGGCGCGCCCCGAGACGCTAGCAACACTGGGGGCTTGCGTTCATTCCCTGGCCTTGGAAGGGGCTATGGTATGGGAAAGCATGGCTTGGCTTACCCCACCTTGAGATTCTTCGTCTTCTTCCTCTTTCTTCTTCTCGGCTCATCTTCGTGTTTCCTTGACTGCCCATATCATACGAAATCGCTGTTTGCCATGCGGGCAGAGCTGGGTTCTTCCCCTCACTGTCCCGTGAGTCTTTGTTGCTTGTGGCACTCCTTCTGTGGAGCAGCCGAACTCTCACGGGAACTCTCACGGGAATTTGTCTAGGTTTGGAGGAAAGGTGAGGTTAGTTTCTGAGTCGTCATCGTGTTGTTCTGGTCCTTCTTCGTGGGTGTTGACAGGTTGGTTGTGCGGCGGTTGGGTAACAATCTGGGTGGGTTCGTATTGGAGATTGAGTTGCGGGTAGTTTGGAAGAGATTATGTGCTCCGTGGTTAGGAGTTGCAGTGGCCAGCCGACGAGTTTGCGAGTCACGCCTGGTTTTGAAGATCATCGCATGATGAGGGACGGGTCGCAGAATGGGACGTACCCCAACAGGGTCCCAGCGGAGTATGGAGGTTGTGTGCTGGTAATGCACCCCTTGCACGCAGCGTCCACCAAGACTGAGCACATAATGTCCAGGTACCGGCCCATCGCACCGAAGCCGGTGGCGAAGAGCGAGGGTGCCGCCGATCAAACAGATACGCATTCGATATCGTCTTTGTCGGCAGATAACAGCACGACGAAATCCTCCACTGGGACGGAATACCGGAAGCGTTCTCGGAAGCGGCCCCCGGACGCGAAATCCACTGGTTCTGGGAAGAAGGGGCGCGGATGGAAGAATTTGGGGGCGATGACAGGGAGGAGTAGCATTTCAGAAGGATATAATGTTGAATTTCAACCTCCGAGCCACAGTCTCACTCCCATTTTTCCTGGGGCCGTAGCGCGTAAGTTTGGCAATGGCGGATTCCAGCGGTTCCAGCAAAGCTTTGATCGCACCCGAAGTGGAGTTTCTGTTTCGTTGTCTTTGTCTGCGAAATCTTCACTTGGGGAACTTCAGTATGAGCAAGGGATTGCAAGCAACTTCAACAACGCTTTGCGAGGTAACGGGGATGATTTGCGTCTCAACATTGGTATCTCGAACGCTGAAGGGCTTGAGAAGGATATAGGAATCGTTGAGCGGGCCGAGACAAATACCACACCGTCTTTGTTTTCTGGGGAACAGTCCAACCCAGGTTTGAGAAGAGAGTCTAGCTTTTTCGACGGTGCCTCAGTTCCTACCGGGTTTGGTGCGGGCAGCGAAACTCGCACCCGCTTGTTTGAGCGAACAACGACGGCTAACACCCCGTCTCTGTTCTCTGCGGAGCGCTCAAACGCGGCTTCGCGAATGAACTCATTCTTTGGATGCCCTACACTGGCCTCAAGCCACGTTGCAGACAGCGAGGCCTGTTCAGCTGAGAATGCAGGGGACAGTAGGAAAGAGAACATTGTAACCTTATCTCTTCTTCCCACTACTCCTTGCTTCGTCAACACTCGCTCCACGCCCTCGAACACAACCTCCTCTCTTCTGCGCTCTGATATTCGATGGTCTTCTGCGAAGGAAGCAAACTCAAGTAGTGGTGATTTAAACACGAGCTTGACCATGTCGAGCAAAGGGAGGTGGTTTGACGAAGAGGCTCCTCTTAGCGGGAGCGCAGCAGCTCCTCAAAGCTTCCGGTCTTTCTCAGACCCACCAGCAGAAGCATCCCAAGACGACGCAGGAGAGCAAGTTGTGGATGCGCACTACTTGGAGCAGCGGCACGGTGGATCGTCCGAGGCGGTGATGCTAACTGATGAGCAGGATGGAGTGTTGTGGGTCAATTCAGCGTTCAAAAGATTGTCTAACGAAAGGATGAGCAGTCGAATGCAGGTGTGTATTTCTATCTGTCTGTTGTCGGTTGGTAAACACCTTGTGATCGTGTAAGTTTATGCGTCTATGTGCTCCATTCAACTTAGAACTTTAATCGCAATTGCTGGCAACAGAACGTAGATTTTTAGTGACTGGGCTTTCCTTGTCATGGTCTTCACTCCGGACCTGCTCTAATCCTTCCATTTGGTACGCTAGGCAATTGGACCACACATCGATCCTCTAGGTATTCGCACGCAGCTTGCAACCCTGTCATACCAGCCGCCGTTTCCTGCATCTAGGTGTAAGGCGGTGCTGTGGGGATTCCTGAAGAAATTCATTATGCACGAAGGAGGGACTCACAAACCATCCAATCTTTTAGAAGGACAATTCAAGGTAACCTCTCCGCAAGCGAAGGTGATTGCGCCCCTACCGGTGAGCGCCTTGGGATCCACCATCACCGTGGAAAGCATAGAATCGCTGGACCCACATGCTGCTCCCTTGTCCGAGGATTTTGAGTCTGTCCTGGAAACCCTGAGCACAGTTGACATGCCATCGGTCATCACAGATCTCAGGTTTCGTGTGAAGTGGATAAACACTGCCTACAAGATTATGGTGGGACAACCCAAGTGCTCGTGGCTGGCATCTACAGTGGGTGGGGCTGTGGATCATGTAGACTCGCCGGCGTCTCACCGACTTGGAGGCGATGTGTTGCTCGTGTGTGATGGTACTCAATTGCCAGAAGGAATTGCAGCTTTCACATGCCGGGTAGGGATTCGATGGAGCCACCAGGGTGACCACTGCGCTACGTCTGTGCCGTCCGAGGTTGTGAGGTTGGACGATGAAACAGCGGGTGGTTTGTTTGTTTGGGGTTTCGATGTGTGATACAGGAGGGAAATATGATGAGGGTTTTCTCTAGATCGAAGGTAGAAGTCCCTGTTGTGAATACATTCTTCCGGACTTGTTCCGTTCCATTATTTTATATCCAAGAGGTCAAAGTTGGTAAAGAGGTTGATTACTTTGCCCATGATTCAGCGCCTGTTTTAGCCTGTCAGCTTCTTTTTCGCCCATGGGGACCGTGATTGGAAGCTTCATTTACACCATTCAAATTAGATGACTGGTGACAACCTGAGTCAACTTTTGTCCCTCCAACCAAGCTGCTCATGCAATGCTCGACATTATGGCCATTGTAAGATGTATATTCAAACGGCCCAGATGAGCACCTGAAGACGGTGTTCACTGATCCTTAAATAAACGGAAGTTTTCCTGTTCTGCAATTACTGTGCGCTGGCAATCACAATGTAAGACATAATACTGCACACAACGCTTGTAACCTGAATCTTCAGATCCTAACACTGACTCCTACCCCATTGCCGATCACCCTTTGATCCCATCTTCCATTATCCGACCAGAATACTAGCTCAGGCGAACCGAGCCCCCAAACAACAAATCTGTCACACCAACCAAATCGAATGCTCTTCATCCTGTGCACATCGACACTTGATTCCTCCTAGTCACCATTTGGTGAATTCGCACATTACAACATCTTCCTTTTGACCCATCCCTCCCTCATCCCACGTCATCAGTTTAATGTAATCAGCAGCACTGTTCATGAAAGCGATTGGTGCGATCAGCACAGACTTGCGATGCATAAATACCCTAGTTTCTATTGTTAAAACGTGATTACATCGTTTCCCACTTGCTGCTTATCCTTGTTTTACTGCAGAACAGTTGACTCCGTTTTAAGTGTGCAATCCCTACTGTAGCGGCACACTTTCTCTGATACTGTCCATATCGTCTTCGAACCGCCGCGTCGAGAAGCAACCTTCGAAGTTACATTTACACCTGCAAGGTTCATCTCCATGTCAGCAGTAGTGAAAAATTATGTCTGGTCCTCAAGCTTTGACAAATTTTCCCAGAGAAATTAGGGTTCTTACTCGATGCGATCGGGAAACCCCATCTCTGAACAAAAAATTGCCGGTCCCCGAAGAACCCCTCAACATCTGAGCTCCGTGGTCCAGTCCTCCTGGCAACACTAGCAAAATCGAAAATCACGGCACACCCACCAACCGTCATCATCACCGAATTCCAACATCGCACACGAAATGGATGTAAAAAACAACCGTGAATCTAAGACTTAATCGTGTTGACGAGGTGCTGCGGTCAGTCGCTTGGTCGGAACGCAAGGGCGGTGAAGCTGCGGCGGGGATCTGGGCTCTTTGGCAAATGTAACATGCGCCGATCATGTGCTGTTCTTAACTTGTACATCGAATATCATTCTGCTTGAAACTCAATAAAATAATGTCTGTGTTAGATGGAGTTTGCGGAGGGGTGAAAACGTGCGCCAAGTGGTGCTAGGAGGTACTGAAATGCCAGCATCCCAGGGAGATGGTGTGGACTGAATGTGCACCCTCGTGCCAGGAAATTTTTGTATACGTTACTAGTACATTTTTGAAGTGGTTTTCACGTATCAGGTAATTATCGATATATTCATATTTCTACTATCGGGGAGCATCGGGACAAGCTGATGGTGGTGATTGGGAAAGTGATGTCGTTGTGCACGAGTGAAGTGGTTGCTGTGGTACCGGTGGGTGTAAGTCCTCGTTACTGGAAAGGTGTTCGGTCAATCAAGTGTGTTGCAATGAAACGGAGGATTGTGGGAGCAGTCTGAGTCGTGGGTTGCTGCGTGATTTCGTGAACAAAGCAGGGATTGTTGGGTTAGAATAGTTTGGTGTGTTATGTTGGGACATGCTTATTCTGCGACGGCTGCTTTCTCCAAGTTACGGTCGGTGTGTTGAGGTATTTCTGAAAAGTGATGCTACATCTGTCGCAGGTGGTGATGAATGTTGAGGTGAGGGAGGAGTAGAACATAAATGCTCTGCACACGAGGGATTTATTTCAGTCAAAGAAGGCAAGATGTAAAGACAAGGAGGGACAGGTCGGGAAGAAAAATATCCCCAAAATACGGATCTTAGCAGGATCCATCGAAGTAATCCTTCCCCGTGCGCGGCTTTGGTTAGGACAGCTCTAACTTGCTTAGTAATCAACAACCGTTTGTTTGTTTGTTTGTTGTCGTTGTTAGGGTTTCAAGCTCTAAGTAGCAATGGCATCCCATGCGGACTCAAGGGTATACCTTCAATCAAGGAGAAGAACCCATGACAAGAGTGGCGAAAATGTAAGGTAAGGAGACTTGAGAAACATAAAAACCTAGAAACCTAGAACCTTAGGAGCATATGGTTAAAATGACATGCCTCATACTAAAAGAATCATTTTTTGGTGAGGAACTCTCTCTTGATAGTATATGTAATAATGCATTTTTTTTTAATTTTATTTTTAATTTTTTAAAATTATAATTGCTCCAAGAATAGCAGATTTAGATAGACATGTGATTTATGCAAAGATAAAATATTGATTTATATACATAGTGATCGCATGTTTATTGATAGAAAATCTTTGAAAACATGTTGTTGACCAATGGATAACTCAACTATCTAGAGATACTTAAGGAAGAATTACAATAGAAAAAAGAATATTAAAAATTATTATTTCTTTTAGAAAGAAAATTCAAAGGATATAATTAAGAATATTCTTTTAATGTCTCTATATTTGCATTGTTCTAGACTTATGTATTTTTCAAACTTGAGGTCTAAATTATTACTCTCAAATAATTTAGAACATAAACACTAGAAAGAGACTATAATCAATCAAAATATCTAAGTGGATTAGATTGAGAAGTCGATTAGAAAAATTCTTGAAAGTTACATTATAGGTTGCAGCTACAAGAAATATCCATTAAGAGCAAAAAATGTGTAATTAAAAGAAAAATATCAATAGAAGAAAGAAGATTACTTTAAACAAAAGAATATTGTAGAAAACGTTTTAAAATAGGACTTTATAAGAAGTATCTAATATCCACATAAGTGAGACCTCCATGTCTTTTAGTAAGAGAAATTGATAAAGACATCAAGACTTAAATTAATAAAGTGTGAGACTCATGCAAGACACATCAAGTAAATAAATTAGCATAGAGAGCCAAGTCTTAGAATTTAATGATGACAAAAGTAGAGAAAATAAATTGAAAATAAATACCAAATAGGTAAATACATCTAAGTCCATTTTTTTAAAATGGTCTGAATTTTCTTCCATGGTCAATTTAAAAAAAAAAAGACTTAATTTTAGAAAAAATAAAAATAAAAATAGTAATTTCTTTATATTAATCTCATGTGATTTTAGATGAAGACATTGAGATAAGAGAGATTTTAAAAATATATTACAAATAATAATAATAATAATAATAATAAAATAACTTTCATATAGATTTTTATATATTTAAATACTTTTCATTAATTTAAACCTTATATCTTAGAATTCAAGAAGGTTGAATGATGTAAATCCAAAGTCTTCAACATGAAGGTAATATCATTTTCATTCAAAAATATATACTTTATGGCAATTGTATTGAAGATCTAAAAAGAATGTTATTTTCTAAGGCAAATTTTTATATCCTTGAAGCAATACAAAGCTATATAATGAACTTAAATGGCGTAAGAATTGGATGAATACGTATTTTATCTTACTATATGTTAGGAACTGTATACAAGTCAAGGATTCAAGACCAAGAAATAGAGATAGCTCGACATTGTCATGATGTAACATGATTAATAGGTGAAAGAGTGTGGAGATTATTATAATTTAGGAGATCTTAATTCAAAGTATTAAAACAAATTATCTTAGAAATATAGTTAATAGTCAAAGGGGTAGAAAAATTAAAAGGTACCAATGCTACCTCTTAGAAAGGTGACTTCTACTTACTTTGTAGTACCATAAGTAAGGCAAATCAAAGTAGATTGGAAAAATAAATGACAAAGGCATCTTTAGAAGCAAGTTAAGAGTAAATTCTAGAAAAAAATTACTTAGAAAAACTAGATATTGATTCTCGGAGAGGGCCGGTTATGAACCAAGATTGAAATCAGACCCTAGGGCACATGACCAAGTCTCGACGACGACTCCGGGGTTCTTTTGGAGATTGAAGAAAGAAGTTTGATAGCAGACTAAATAGGCTTTCTATAAGCATTGATTTTGGATGATTTGGAGTTGATATGACTTTGTAAGAGCTTTGCAAAGTCAAGATTTGTTTCGGATGACTTGGATTTTATGAAATAAAATAGGATTTATGTTTTGAGTGATTTCAAGAGTTTCGTAATAGAGCTACAAGGGAAATTTTGTGGATTTATGGTCATAATTGTGTTTAATATGTGTCGTGATTTTGAGCTTGATCTAACGGTTGAATTGAGGGATATTGAGGTTTAAGTGGGTCAAGGTCTCAGAAAATAGAATTTTAGGTCTAGTAGGGATTTTTAAGATTTCTTACAATCTACTAGTTGGATTGAAGTGAAACTTATGTGAGAGGATATTAGACTTGTTTTTCTATATGTATGAGAATTTTGAGATCAATCGAATGGTGCAAAGGAGAGATATTGGCTCTAGAAGATTGGCATCAAGATTGGAGAAGGAGGCCAACCAATACCCAAGCATATTTTTGAGGTTATCGTCAATTTGGTAACTCCGATCCTTATCAATTTTTTTGTGCTTGTTTTTAACTTATTTGAGAAGTATGCAAAATTTGAGTTAAGATCAACGGTTTATTTATTAGTTATTGAGGTTTAAATCTATTGTAGGAATTATTAGGATTTGGTTTGGGGTTTAGGGTTTGGATTAGGATTAAATTTAGGATTTAGGGTTTGGTTAGGATTTGATTTAGGATTTAGGTTTTGGATTAGAGTTTGGTTTAGGATTTGGTTAGGGTTTGGTTAAGGATTTAGGATTTGGTTAGGATTTGGTTTAGAGTATAGGATTTGGATTAGGATTTTATTTAGAGTTAAGGGTTTGGATTAGGGTTTTTTTTAGGATTTAGGATTTGGATTAGGATTTGATTAGGATTTGATTTAGGGTTTAGGGTTTGATTTAGGATTTAGGATTTTATTAGGATTTAAGATTCAATTAGTTTTGGCCTAAGGTTTGAATGAAGTTCAATAGGATTTTAATTAGAATTAAATTAAGATTGTATTGAGATGTATTTGAGTGATATTTGTGATCCTTCTAATATTTCTTCAAGAATTCTTATTGTTTGTTTGAAATTTCTCCGAGGTTTCTTTGAATTTGATTAAGCTTGATTACCATTATTATGGTCTAATTAGAGCATTGCTAATATTATATTAGAATTAGGATTTTATTATTGTAATTTCTATTCTTCCTTCCACAGCTAGGTGCTCAGAGC